TTAAGAAAAATATGTCCTTGAACTAAGACATTTCTAACCTCCTTGTGCTCTAAGGCTCCCAAGAGACGTACCCTGATTTTTGAAATGAGAAGGGAAGAAAGGGGAGTGAAAAAAAAATCATGGTACAAAAGAAGTGTAATTTTTAAGTCAAGTTAGTTATTCATATTATACTGACCAGTCCTAATGTTTTCAATCTCAAAAAATTATTATCACCAAACTCTGATCTTAAAAGAACAGCCTTGAAAAGTTGTTAGGTTCAAACACTTCTAGGTAACACATTTCAAGCTTTTGTACAACAACTAAAAGAAAGGGCTACACATATCAAATGTCAATTTTTCCAAAAGTACTTTGCTTTTAATGAAACTATATTAATATACTTGGATGGCTAAACGTTAAATATTATTTCTCAACAGGAAAATGCCCCTTTGAACTGCTTCCCATGGTCATACCTGGCATGTTACCCAAATTAATGAGGAAGATAAATGGAGGCATCTGTAACAGGCATTGACCCTGATTTGTGCTATGGTATTTAAATCACAATAGAGTAGGGCTTGGGATTCTGCAAACTTCTCCAATGGCTGGTATTTCTCTTCACTTCTCATAGCACCTCCAACCAATATCAAATAATATCGGACTCTGGTAGCATAGTGGCTAAGACACTTGCCTGCTAACCAGACGGCTGGCGGTTCAAACCCACCAGCCACTCCTCGGAAGGAAGGTTGGGCAATCCTACTTCCGTAGTGATACTGCCTCGGAAACCCAAGGAGGGGTCACTATGAGTCGGGGCCGACTCGACGGCACATAACAACAACAACAACAATAGGAAAAGTAAAACTGTGAATTCTTTAACCTTTCCTGTTGTCTATATTTAAAAAAAAAGCCATGCATTACATTCTTGTATCAAATACACTTAGGAGAAGCAGTGCATCTAATACAGGCATGGAGCCAAAAGCAAATACAGACAGTCGCTATTTCCTCCCCCAAGACAATTCGGAACCCACCATTACCTGTCATGCAGCTGGTATCTTTCCCGTACTTCTTCCAAAATGATTCTCTTTGGTCCCTCGCCTCCAATTATGAAATGTAAATCTGGATATTTATGACAGAGTTCAGGGATTATGCCACTAAGTAAATCAGTTCCTGAAAATGTAAGAGAGAACATTGGAAATATATTTAAACCCTTAAATTTTTTTCATTGGAACTGAGAATCTACTCACTTTGTTTGCACAAGACTTCACCAACCAAAAAGAGAAAAACCATAGAATCCACTCCCTTTTAAAGGGAGTAGCTGTGCTTTCCTTGAAGTAGAGAAACGAACTCTCTGAAACTTTTCCTAAGCAGGTGAAACCAGTTACAAACATGCAGAGAGCCTGCCAGGACTGTAGTTCTTACAGACACCCTGACATCCACCATCCATCCCTTCCACACATGCATAATCTGTGTCATGGGTTCTATTCAACATACTGTTAAGTTATTCACTTGTGCTTTACACATCGCTCTAAAGCAGCTAGTTGAGGTAGCAAATGCTATAACTCTGCAGAGTTAAGCATTCGCTTAAGTCATTTTTATTCAAATAATAATATTTAAATAATCCAAAGTAGGTTTCTTTAAGTACTTTCAAAACATGATTATATTGCTTAAAAATAAATTCACAGCAGCTTTTCTGCACAGCTCTGTGCAGCACACACCGCTCGCTGGAGGTCTCCCCACCTGTCCCAGCTTTTTTGCCAAGCTCTTTGATCATGGGAGTTGTTTCCTGCTCTATAAAATGAGGAGGCTGATGTACCTGAAGTCCAAGGTCTCTTTCAACAATAAAATTCTTACCAGTCTATGATTTCACTTTCTGCCAGAGGCCAAGGCTAAGCAAAAAAGTGCAACTGTTGCTTCTGGTTTGTTCAAAATGCAGAGAATTTCACAGTGAAAACTTGAATACTGGCAAAGTTGGGGAATGGTCCACCCCAACAAGTGGTACCCCATTTCCTGGAATGGGAGTAAATGAAGGTGGCTGGACCTCAATGGTCAGATCATTACAGTTCATAGAACAAAAGGATGTCTCTTGCTTCCTTTTGAAAATAAAATGATTTTCCTCTAATATGTAAAAACAACCTTGGGAACTATAGAACAATAAAATAAGCCATGCCCTATTCATCTGAAAACATTAGTGGCTATCCAAAGTGACAGTAATATCAACCATGTTTGGGAATTTAATTCAGTAAAAATTACAAATTGCACACATTCAAAAGTCCATGTAAAATAATTCATTTAGAGCTATACTAAATTTATTAATTTTTTAAAATACACACACATATACATAAGAATTGCATTTTTTCATATCAATCTTCCTAAATATAAGCAGATCAATTATAAAATATATGGTGAAGGAAACTATATATATGGACAGGGTCATTTTTATTTAAATAATCCAAAGTAGGCTTCTTTAAGTAAACTCTGCTAGGGCTTTCAAAACATGATTACATTTCTCAAAAATTCATAGCAGCTTTTCTGAATTATGAAGTCCTCTCATCAAAATCTTACCTATCATTGTTTCTAGTCTATTATCAAATCCATTGATTTAATTTTAGATAAACCAGAAAGCAGCTTAATGCCTTTTAACATTTAGCCTCCTATAAAAACTCCAGAAGCACATTGCCTCATATGCCTTTACGTTCTCACCTGGCTTAAAAGAAACCCCAACTGGTGATTGTAAAGTATGCTTTTTGAGGGTGAAAGTGCAATAACACTGATTCAGAACTCCAATCAGTGGACCAGTATGCCAACTCCGTGGCCTCACATCAACTGCTAGCAATTCAATGGACATTAATGTCTTGAGTTAAATTCAAGTATCTAAGGAATGGAGATTGTGTGTGTGTGTGTGTGCACACACATACACACACTGCCATTGAGTCAATTCTGACTCATAGTGACCCCATAGGAAAGAACAGAACTGCCCTATAGAGTTTCCAAAGCTGTAAATCTTTACAGAAGCAGACTGCCTCATCTTTCTCCCACGTCACAGCTGGTGGGTTCGAACTGCCAACCTCTGGGTTAGCAGCCAAATGTTTATATATTATTAAAATATATATATATATAAATTATTTTTTAAAAATGATTCCCTACTTAAAGTGACATTTTTGATTAGTGGACTGGTTTTCAGACCTAAAATCCAGAAGTCTACTTATTGTTATTAATAAGCAGATTCAGAACTGTTCCAGGCTTTTAGTAAGGGAGGTTCCACAGATGCTACTGCAGTGTCCATCAGGCACTGCAGAGCACTTACAAACTCCTCCTTGATAACATGAGCACTTGGCAAGTATGTGCTGGACTAAGTAGAGGAATCGCACCAAACCCTCACAAAATCCCATGTTACCCCAACTACACGAATGAGAAAACCAAGGCTTAAGAAACATCTGGTAACTTGTCCTTGATCACACAATGGGATCCAAACCAAAAACCCACTGCCATCAAGTTGATTCTGATTCATAGTGAACCCCACTGGGTTTCCAAGGCTGTACATCTTTACAAAAGCAGATTGCTGTATCTTCCTCCCAGAGCAGCTGGTGGGTTTCAACCACTGACCTTCTGGTTAGTAGCCAAATGCCTTACCCACCACGCCACCAGAAGTCCTTCCACAATGGGATAGAGCCAGGAAATAGACACAGACAGGTTAACTCTCTTCATCACTTACCTGCTGTCATGGGATATTACCATGTTATTGTACAGTGGTCAATGAAGCACGCAAGCTACACCACAGTAATGCGCAGACCAAACCTGCTGATGTTAAGTATATGAGCATAACGCATAAGAGAAACAAGAAACTCCAAATAAAATATCTATTAGGGTCATCTTTGACTAGTAAGTTTACAGCTGATTTTAATTTCTATTTTGTGCTTTTCTTAGTTTTCAAAGTAACTGCAATGAAAAGACGTTATTTTTGCAATCAGAAAGCAAAGGGCAAGTGGTGTTCTCTGCCCTGTACTTCTCAATGCATGCACAGGTATCTCAATTTTTAAAAGCATCTGACATTTTAATAAATGAAAGTTAATTTAATAATATACAGTATCAGGTTATCATTCTTTTTTTTTAGTAACTATTAAAATATTAAGGAGCTCTGGTAGTATAGTGGTTAAGGAATTTGGTCAGTGGTTTGAACCCACCAGCTGCTCCATGGAAGAAAGATGAGGCAGTCTGCTTCTATAGAGATTTACAGCCTTGGAAACCCAATGGTGGTTGCCATGAGTCGGAACTGACTTGATGGCAGTGAGTTTGGTTTGAGTTACTGATTAAAGACTGGAGGAGGGCAGCACTGACCAATGTTCCACAAATTTCTTCTTGGATTTTTAAACCCACGTTAGACTTTTCTTTGCTATATTCAATACAGAAGTATTTATAAAAACATAAAATAAAAAGACATGCCAAACAATCTGTTCTTGTTACCTAGTGCTGCTCTGACAAGAATATACCACAAATGGGATGGCCTTAACAAACAGGAGTTTATTCTCTCACAATTTGGAGGCTTTTAGTCCAAGTTCAAAGTGCCAGGCTTTAGGTGCTGTGTGAAAGCCCCTCAACCTTGGGCTTCAGCTCTGCCTCTTCCTCCCAGCCCACTGAAGCTAGAGGCATCTCTTCACGCAAGCAGCTAGTGGCTGCTGAGGCTAACAAGCCCAAGGTTGACAATAAAATGGCACAGTCCCGATGTCACCAAACCACACGGCAGGCCATTAATTCAAGTCCATTGAAAGTCCCCAGGTGGGCAGAGCATGGCAGGCTGCTGAACGACATGGCTACATGCAGGGTCCAAGCGTACCATACGCTAGAGACCATTCCCAAAGCTGCTTCTTATATACGAGAAGCAGACCACATACCCAATGCAGCTACTCAGCTGCTCCAATAGATTCCACCAAGGAGTTAATTACCAATCTCACCATGGGGAATAACTACATTCAGCTGCCCAGCCACTCAATCAGTCCCAGCCAAGCTGACACACAACCTTAACCACCACACCATCATTACATACAAATATTCAGGAGCCTTCTACAGGAAAAAAGAAGTCTTGCACTACAATCGTGGCTATCATTTCATTCATTACCTTTTCTGTAAACAAGTCTGCTGACAACAATGACAGTTGTTCCACTATCACTCCTTTTACTTGGGTCTGGAGTGAAGTCTGTAGGATCTACCGCATTCGGAATAACGGAGACGATTTCAGGATTTAGTGCTGCTCTCAGTACAGTGTTTTCCTTACTAGTGTAGGAGACACAGATTACGTGGTTTGTGTCGCAAAGAGACACAGTCAGAAGCTTGTTTGTAAGCACCGAGCTGACATCAGCAAACCCAAAAAGAGAATGGTCTGTAAAGACCGTCTGGAGCCCCATGGTCTTTGCATGGAAGAGGGCATCATGGGCCATGGCAGAAAATGAACTATGTGAATGGATTATTGTGACTCTCTCCCGAACAAATATGTACCTGAGCAATGGCAGACTGTGAAAGAGGGTCGTGGCTATTGACTGGTTGTACATGACTTTCAAAGGCAAGTAATAGACCTTGAGGCCATTAGTGAGGTAACGGATGCCTTTTCGATTTTCATAAGCATGGGTGACAATTATGACCTTGTGCCCTCTTTTGATCAGGCACTGAGAGAGCTGGTAAATGTGGCTTTCCACGCCTCCCATATTGGGGTAGAAAAAGTCAGACACCATGCATATGTTATGGGTCATGGTACTACATGTGGAGGATCCTTCAGAGATAGTGTGGGGGGATTCAGGTGAGGGAGGCAGGCTGTCTTCTTGTCTTCCTCTAGAGGCCATACTGAGAAGGTTTAGGCATCAGTCCGTAGAGCAACCCCATCAGAATGTGTGTCGTTTATAACCTGAAAAAGAGCAAAACAGGATCTGAGCACAAGGACAAAACCCAGTCCAATTTCCCCGTCTAAGTATAAATGCTGCTTTCAAAGGCATGAAAGCGCGTTAGGTTTTTCCCTAGAGATCAAAGTCGACACTCAATTCGTGAGCACTTACTATGTGCCACACAACAAAACTAGGTTCTTCAACATTCTAGGTCTTATCTTTGCTCTAAAAATACTGCTACTCCTAATTAATATCATTAAACTCATTACATCACAGTATATGATTTGCCATGCCAACAAACCAGTTCATTCAAACAAATACACACACACACACACATATCGCTGTACCAGCTTCTACTTACTGAATGGCCACTACACATTAGTGTGCTAAGAGGTTTCCATGTATCACTGCAGCATCACCAAAATGCTATGAGGTATTAGCACCATCTAAACGGGCCGACTCGACGGCACATAACAACAACAACAACAACAACAAACCAAAAAACAACTCACTGCCGTCCAGTTGATTTGACTCATAGTGACCCCTCCTTGAGTTTCCCAGGTGGTATCTCTACAGAAGTAGATTGCCCCATCTTCCTTCCAAGGAGTGGGTGGTGGGTTTGAACCGTAAGCCTTCTGGTTAGCAGTCAAATGCCTTAGGCACTATGCCACCAGAGCTCCCTTAGCCCCGTTAGCGCCGTCTAATAGTTGGCAAATCTAAAGCTCAGAGAGGTTAAGGAGTTTGTCCAAGATCACTCAGCTAGTTAAAGATAGCACAGCCTGTTTCACTGATGGCCACATGTCCTGGTATTTATGCCCCTGTATAGCCCCCTCCCCATGCATTTGACTCAGTTCACCCCATACAATGTGGTGGAAGTGATACTGTGCAAATCTGGGGCCTTGGCCTAAAAAAGACCTTGTTGTTGTTGTTGTTATGTGCCGTCGAGTCAGACCCGACTTACAGCAACCCCTTCTTGGGTTTCCAAGGCAGTATCACTATGGAAGTAGATTGCCCCATCTTCCTTCCGGGGAGTGGCTAGCAGCTTCCATATGTACGCTTTTGGGAATCCAAAGCCACTATGTTAAGAAGTCCAACTACCATGGGAGAGAAACCACAGGGGGACTATGTGTAGAGGGGGGAGCCCAGTCTACACGGAGCAAGAGAGAGGTCTCATCTTTCCAACATTCTTAGCCAGGCCTAGTCACTAGCCAACCTGCCAGCTCATTGCATTGCCATGAGTGACCACTAGCAAGATCACCAGAACTCCACAGTGGAGCCTAGCAGATTGCAGAATCTTAAAAAATAACTAAATGGCCATTGTTTCATGCCCCTAACTTTTAGGGTGGTGTGTTGTACACTAATTGGGCAGGATTCACGCCTAGTTATATTATTGGCCACTGCCTGTTTTTGTAAATAAATTCCTATAGGAACATACGCTTGCTCACTCATTTACATAATATCTATGGGTATTTGGGGGCTACAATGGCAGAGTATTGTAATAGAGACAGTATGACCCACAGAGCTGAAAATATTTGCTATCTGGCCCTTTACAGAACATGCTGACCTCTGCTTTAGAGCTTAGCCACCAAGGTATTAGGCTTGACACAATGCTACCGTTCACTCTTCCTTCTCTGGGAAGTCTGTCACAGAAGACTTGTTATCCAAGCTGTCTACCTGCCTCCAAAGGGTAGGGCACTCGTGGACAGAAGTTAGCTGTGATAGAAAGGAACCCACTTAGGCCGACTCCCAAATAGCATCAGACTTTCTGTCTTAAGGTTACTGCCTTTGTCTCTACTTCCCAAAAGCAACCCACTGACTTAGCCAGCTCCAATTTCTTACAAGAGATTTGGTGGTGCAACGGTTAAGCACTCGGCTGCTAAGGAAAGGTTGGAATTTAAATCCACCCAGGGGCTCCACAGGAGAGAGACCTGGATATCTGCTTCCCCAAGAAACTACGGCCTTGAAAACTCCATGGGGCAGTTCTACTGTCCTCTCGGGGCACTGGGAGTCAGCAGGTTTGGTTTAGGCTTCGCTTCATAGAGACTGACAGCCTTGGAAACGCTATGGGCAGTTCTCTGTCACGTGGGGTCACGAAGACAGAGTGGACTCAATGGCAAACTGTGCCCCTGTTGCCTAATCTACCCAGGGTTCTCCTCTATGAAGTACACAGCCACGAGCACACAGGGATACTACATTTCCTTACTTCCAACTCTGCTCTGTGTTGTTGCTTGCAAATGTCTACAATAAATATTTATATAACGGTATTTACTGCTAATCACTGAGGGTAGAGAAAAAGAAAATCACAAACACCCAAGATTCAATTAATCTCATAAAGTTCTGCTACTATAAACTTTGTGGGCTATATGAAAATTGTACCTAGAGCTAGAACTTTTTTGGAGCCCCATTTTAACTGTTGCCTGTAGCAGGTACAGAGGACATCCACATTTTCTCCTTTCTTATTCAAGGATGACAAAAATCAGTCTGCTCACTACATGTTTTTCTTAACCCTTTTTTCAGGTTCAGCCTTTCCTGGGTAAGTGTCTTTCCCTTCAGTTTGGGGTTTGAAACTAAAGGATTAACTAGACCTGGGCTGGCTCTGGGGCGGTCTCCTACATCAAAAGTAAGATATGTTTCTCAGGGCCCTAGATCCCTGCCAATAAGAAACGTCCATTCAACATACAGCATTATTGCAGATTCTCAGCCTTTTAAGCTAAAGAGTCTTGGTGAACTAGTGAAAATCTTCCTGGAACTTTGCAAACGAAATTTCCACAGCTCCAGGAAGGCCTCTACACAATGAGAAAGCCATCCTAAAGCTGAATTTCATAATTCACCTGGAAACACAGAAAATGCCAATTAACTGCGTGTGCAGTCTTGACGAACTATTCTCGTCAACAAACCTCTCTCCTTTTTAAACACAGTCTCAGAAATACTTAATTCATGTTTGTTGAACTGGACTTATTAACAAACTGAGTATTACCGTATTCGAACTCTTTCCAGCTTGTCTTTTTAAGTGGCTCAACTAACATTTCCTTACTGTGGTTTATCACCTAAACCTGAACTTCTAGTTCTATTCAATTTAAAAAGATGAACGATAACGAAAACTGTGAGTAAAGAACCAAATGAAATCATAAAATGTTCTTGGCAACGTTCTGTAACGAGTCAGCCTCTTCTTCCACGAGGTCATTACCCCTCACAACCCTGGCCTAAAGAATTAATACACGGCAGAGTCACAAAAACCTTGGATTTTAAAGCTGGGGAACTAGTGCTAAGCTCCTTCACTTTACAAATGTGAAGCGATAAAGCTGTGCAATTTGACAAAGGTCCCCACACAGACACTTAAGTGGCAAATGCGAGATGGCTGTAAAATTCTAACCGTGGCCATCGAGCCCCTGGGCGCAGTCAACAGCATCAGAGGCTCCCGGGGAGCCTTGGAAGGTCCAGCGGGGTTGGGGTCAAGAGGACGGTCCTTCCACCACAATGCTGGGCAGCGCCAGGACCAAAAGGGGGCGCTCCCCCTCAGTCCTGGGCCGCGGCCACCCGCCGGGGCCGGGCCGGGCCAGGCCCAAAGGGAGGAAACAGGACGGCCGTAAGCCTCTGAGGAGCCTGCTACAGCGCCGCCGCCACTACGACCCCTCGACCCCGTTCAACGCCAAAGACTCTCCGATCCGACTTCCGGGCGTCAAGTCGCACCAGCTTTTTCCCGCCGCACACGCGCTTACCCGTGAGCCCAACTGACACCTAGGTCCGGACCTCCCGCGGCTGCAGCCGGAGCCCCGCCCCGGCCAATCACGAAGTCCCCACCATGTTCGGAATACCTATTTTCTCTGCAATGGAAGCAGTAATCCTCAGGCTAATGTTTCACGTGAACTCACGAACCTCTAAAACAGGGCCCGCCAGAACCCTTCCTTTCCCTGAGTTAAGTTAGATTTCCCAGCGTGCCTCGCAGTGGCTCTCTACTGGGAGCTGTAGTCCGTTGGCCTTTGTTTGGTGGCTAATCCGAACTTAGAAAACTACCACTCCCAGAATGCATCGCGCTGTACGCCAGAATGGTGCGAGAGGTCGGGTGTGGTCGCTGCGCCGTTGCCTAGTTACAGCGTGTCCTTTCAGGGAGCCGGAGCTCTCTCTGCTTGTTTCCGGCTTGGAGGGATTTTTGTATGGGAGAAAGCAGAAAGCCAGTGTTGCGGTGGGGTTTTATTCTTGATTATCTGTCCCCCAGCACAACCATGCTGTTTTTTTGTTTTTTCACCACCTGAGTACGGTTGCCAGATTTAGGAAATAAAAATAAACTCAAAACCAAACTCACTGCCATCAAGCCGGCTCCTACTCATAGCGACCCCCATTGGGTTTCCAAGGCAGTAAACCTTTAAGGAAGTAGATTGCCCCATCTTCTTGCCATAGAGTGGCTGGTGGGTTTGAACCTCCGATTTACTGATTAACAGTCAAATGCCGTAGGCACTATGCCACCAGAGATCCTTACAAAATGAAAATACATGAATTAAAAAAAAAAAAATAAAAACACTGACATTTGAATTTCAGATAAGTAAACAAAAAAAATGTTTTTGATGTAATTTAAAATAATACTGGTGAAATCCCTGAGACTATGGCCCCTAATCACATTTTGGTCCTGGAACTGGACTGACTCCTGTGGTTCAACTCTCAGCCAAACAATAGAGAGGCCTGGGAGCTGAAAAGGAGCTCTGATAGCATAGTGCCTAAGGCACTTGACTGATAGCCAGAAGGCTGAGGGTTCAAATTCACCAGCCACTCCTCAGAAGGAAGGTTGGGCAATCTACTTTCCTAGTTGAAACTGAGTAAAGTCAAAACCCCCACCCTGGTTAAGGTGGATAATTAGAACAGATAGGACCCCGGTTGGAAATAAATAAGTAAATGTAATTACCTTCAACTATTTCCCCACCCTGGTTAAAACTAATAGGACCCTGGTTGGAGACAGATGAGTAAAC